GCGGCGGCGCCATGGCCCGAGCGCAGGCCCCGCGCCGCAGTCCCGGGAGGCGCGCGAGCAGCAGCGGGGCGCGCGGGCGGCGGCCAAAGGCCATGGGCGCCTCCCGGTCCCGCCCCGCGCGCCGGGAAACGAAACCCCGGGATCGGCGGGCGGCGCCGCGGGGAACCGAAAGTGAAGCGACGGCGGTGGGCGGGGCTCCAGACCCGGGCGCCCTGCCCGATCTCGGCCTCCGCCTCCTCTTTGCGGCGAGGTCGCGCCGCCGGGAGGGGACGCCCGCGGGCGCCCGGCGGCAGAGTGGCTCGGATGGGGACCCGGGCCCGCGCTGCGATGGGAAGCGGGCAGGTGGCCCCGGGCCACGGTTTGAATAATTCCCTTGGTGTTGCTTATGCCCAGTGTATGGTGTGCCTGTCTCAGAGGCGGTACGTGAGACCTCTGCCTTTGAGACCGGAGTGTCCCCCCGGCGCCACCACCCTCACCGGCTCCCCATCGCCCTCGCGCTCCGCTGACGTCTCACCTGAGCTTGACTTGCGGGTCCCGCAGAGCCGGCGGCCGCTCCCCGACCTCAGCGCCGCGCCCTCGCCCGGACTCGAGTCCCAGGAGCTGCTGCATCGCTTTCACTCGGCTTTGCACGTGCTTTTCCCTCTTTTGGGATTACCCCCCACCCCACCCCACCCCGCACACACACCTTTAAATGACTCTCAAACTGGTGTCACCAGACTGGCACCTCTCCTTTGCCTTACAAAGGCCAAATAAAAGCGGTGCCTGCGGGTCCAAGGAGACAGCAGCTGGACGGCCTGACAGCGCCTTTCAGCAGCGGGCGTCACACGGACAGCAGCAGCGGCCTTCGAGGAGTAAAAGCAGTTACATTATTTGGATGTTTTATTTTGTTTTTACTCATTGATTGGTACCTTTGAAAATGATTGTCAAGCAGACCCAAAAAATTTAGAATTGAGACGAAGATGGAAAACATTAGATGCACTGAAAGAAAATAAACTTTATGATTTAATCAGTGTGCATTGAGTGTGAGATTAGGTTTAATTCTGAAAGAAAACCCGTGAACTGTGACAGCTATGTGGTTGAAGTATGCGTTAACAGGGAAAGGGTAATTCTGAGATTAGGATGTTTTAAGCTCATTGAGAAGAGGGTCGTTTTTTATTCCCTATGAGCAATTTGACATTTGGACCTTCTAGGGAGCAGAGATGTCACCTGTGTGGCACGAAAGATAACAGAAAAACAAGCTCCTTTTTGTTCATTGGGACAGTATTGTATCCTTCCGTGAGCCTTTCTTGACCTTTTTTCCCATGGCCCCTCCTCATTATGGCTGCTCTTACTTTAAGTTTCCCTCTCCGTTTTCACTCCCGTCCTTGCTATAAGGAGACTGTGAAATTCATGGCAGTGCAAGATCGAGGCTCAGTCAGTCTTAACTATGTTGAAGACTGAAGATAAAATATTTTCATTCATAAAGGAAAAAAATTATAATTCCAATTATAATTTCCTAAAACAGAGACTCTGATAGTCCCAGCTGGGCTCGATGTTTAGATTGAATAAACTTGCCTGTAGTAACCTGCGCTTGTGGGTGTGGAGGAGAGAAGCTGGGAGCTGGAAAGACGTTCCAAAGAAGTCTTTCAATGAAAGAACAACACAGCTTTATTCACATAAAAAGCCAGGTTCTTCAGTCAGAATTCAATTTACAGCCTCAAACAGGAAAAAATAAGTAGTAACCTATAATGAAAAAGAACCTGAAAATGAATACATGTATATATATAATATATGACTGAAACATTATGCTGTCCACCAGAAATTGACACAACATTGTAAACTGACTATACTACAATAAAAAACTATACTGTAAAAAATAGGGAAATATGAAATATTCTAGCCATTCTGCTCATAGGGAAAAAAAGCAGAAAGGGAGAATTAACTAATATAAACGTAATTAATAATAAACAATACAATGAGAAATAGTATTTATTTTGGAAAAGATTGGTTTTTGAAAACTTGCTTAAGTAGATGTGCTTCAGAGTAGGTAAAACTGGATTAAAAAAAGGAAATAAAATCAGCATAATAGTAATGCAAGAGAGGAAAGAACTACAGAGTAAAATGGACAGATAAAGGAGAGAGTATTACATACAATTCTACATCAATAAATCCAAACATCACAAAATAAATAATCAACTTGGAAAATAAGACTTAATAAAATAAACCCAGGAAAGAGTTATAGATTCTGTAATCCAAGTTTCAAGGCGGTAATTGATGAAGGATCTGAAAAGTACTGGACAAGTTTTATAAGTAACTGTTTTATCAAGGAATAGATAAACACTCTACTATATAAGCCTTCTGTTTCTCATTTATAAAAGCTCTTTTGGGCACGTTTGGGGGTTTGTGATTTGAAGGGGTTGCTATTGTATTGTGGAGCTGATCTCACTACGAGATACAGATTATGTAGATCCTTGAGAAGAGTTAACACAGCAGGTGCAGGTGCTTACAATCCTGGCGTCTCTCTCAGGAGCCTGGAGTCACGATCGAATCTGGCCAAATCCTAGAAATATGCCCTTAAAACCTTCTTTCTGTGGTTCTGTGTATACACCTGGAGCATCGAACACACCACACCAGCTTGTCAGGATTGCTTTGCTCAAGTATCAAGATTGATGATGGGCACTGCATTGACAGGTGGTGTCCTGGGATTTAATGACCACGACTGGTCACAGCAGGATGTGCCTACGTGTCCAGCTCACCACATAAGGGCAGACCTGAGACGCAAGCAGGCTTCCCTGACCAGCTATCCCACACCTGTCCTGGGGTGGGGGCACTGCTAAAGAGAGAGTGCAACCCCAGATGGGGACGGAGTCAAAGGTCTGTGCCCACCTCTCAAGACTCCTTTGATGTTCCTCTTTGCCCTGGTGTCCTTGCTCTGCATCCTCTCCCTGGAATAAACCCTGGCTGTGAGCGTAAACTGCTCCCAAGTCCTACAAGTCCTTGTGGGTGGTGCCGAGACTCCTGAAACACAACACAATACACACACACACACATACACACACGGAAATTTAATAAAATGTTCAAGGAACTCTTACTAAGAAGTACTTTGATCTTCCATTTTATTTATTTAAATACACATGCGCACAGTGACAGCTCTTTATAAATTAGTAAATTTAGTGAAATTACACACATGAAATGAATTAAGTTACAACCAGTAAATGAGTGAACAGGACAGACAAAAAGTTAAAGAAGATATTTGTGATTCATATAACCAAGGAAGTACACGCTATGCAATAAATTCCTACAGATCGATAATAAAAATGCAGAAAACCCAATAAAAAAAAAGAGGGCAAGGGATTCAAACAGGCACTTCACCAAGAGATTATCAAAATAGCTATTAATTAAACATATAAAAAATGTGCTTAACATCATTCGTCATCAGGAAACCGGATAGTAAAACCACAGTGAGACCAACTCCACACCCACTGAGATGACTAAAATTAAACCAGACAAAACAGAAGTCTTTCAGGGACAATCCCGAGTGAGGAAGAAGACGTGGAGCAATTGGAATGCTGACATTGTTCTGGCTGGAGTGGAACTTGGTCTGGCACTCTGGACAACTCTTTGGAGGTATTAAAGGGAGACATGTGTATACTGTATGGACCACTGATCCCACTTCTGGGTGTACACCCCACGCAGACGCATACTTATGTTGACCAAAAGGCATGGACGAGAAAAGGTACAGCAGAATAGCAGAATTCTCCAAATGCTCGTCATAATAGGATGATCAAATGGACTGTGGTATATTCAACCAATGAACTCCCAGATGGCTATGAAAATGGAAAGTACTGCTAAACACAACAAAATGGAAAGAAATCTACACGTATTGCGTGAAAGCAGCTATACAGAAAAAAGCAGATACCGTGGGATTCCATCCATAGGGACTTCAAAAGCGGGCAAACCTAGAGGGTGGTTTTAGAAAACAGGAGCAACCTGACCCGGGGGAGGTGGTCCAGGAACCACGGGGAGCTCCTAGCGTGACACTGGACTGTGGCCACTACCACTGTCTATTGTGCTGTTTCCTTCCATCCTGGGCCTTTGGCCAGACCTGCTGGGGATCTGAAGGAAGGAAAAAACAAGCGTGCTTATCTTAATCTCTTTCGAAACCATGAGTTTTGGTGGGTTTCGTTCTGCAGGGCGCTGGTAAACAAGTATGGCCAGGCGGATAACGGAGCACGTTAACGCCAGGGCTCTTCTGCCCATTATCAATGGAGCGAGTACTTAGCGGAGCCATGCGCGGGGCAGATGAACACAGTTTACAGTTTTGCAAGCCCCGGCCTTATTGTCTATTTGCTATTCATGTTGAGTTTTTAAAACTTTTCAGAAATAAGTGTATTTTGGTAGCCTCATGTGTAAATTAATTGCTTGGACTAAAACAGCCATTCTTGTCTCTGGCTACATATTTGGCTGCTGAGAAACTTTAAATAAAATATCTGTGTTGGGTCTGAACCCCAGGCTAATTACATTGTGGCATGTGGACAGACCAATGTGGGGTCCTCCAGGGGGTTCCACTGCGCAGCCAGGTCATGAACCACTGATCCTAAGGTTGCAGAGGGCACTGACAGCTAAGTTTTACATGGTCGATGCTAATATCCTGAGAGCAGTACCTGGAATTTGGGAAGTATTTGAAAAATGTTAGCTATTATTACTGCTCTTGTTTTAGGAAACACTTCTTACTTCACTCTTAGAGTAAAATGTTCTGTTCTTGCTTTGTATGAGCTGTTTGAGCCTTGAAATCACTCAAAGGGGAGTTGCGTTTATGATCTGTTGAGGAAGCTCACAAGAAATCTCTGATCAGAGAATGACAAAGACTATAGTATTACTTATATGTGGAATCTAAAAAATACAACAAACTAGTGCATAAAGCAGAAAAGAAGCAGATTCCCAGATACACAGAACAAACAAGTGGTTTGGAGGCTGCAGCCCACGTGGTGTGTACATACACACACACACACACACACACACACACACACACACACACACACAGAGTGGACTATTACTCAGCCATAAAAAAGGATGAAATAATGACATTGCAACAACGTGGATGGACCTAGAGATTATCCTAGTAAATGAAGTGAGTCAGGCAGACAAAAAAGTCCCTGGCTAAATAAAAATGGTGGTGACATTCGGCTGCCATCCAGTTGTGTCTGGATACCTTTAGAGACAGCCAGCTCCCAAGGAGCAGAAACCTATAAGGGGGCTGCCTTGACCTCCCTCCAGCCTACCCTGATCTTGAGCAGTTGGAAGAAGAAATCCCTCCCTGACCTTTGCCAGCCAGGACTTTGAAGAAGAAAGTCTACCACAGCTGAACCTTATTCTTAGATGAGTGGAGAAAGACAAGTTTTGAAGGAATACGCACATTTTCAAAGGATACCAAAGGCACTGTTGACTTTTGTGAGATCTTTGCCAGAAGGGACTTGCCCTTATTTATTTCAATTGGATTCATATTTATTCATATTTTATCTGATACATGGGACATTCTCAATAAATCTTTGTTGAAGGAAAGAAGAAAGGAAGGAAAAAAAGAATCCCTGCATGAATGAAGGAGTAAAATGGATGGATGAACAAATGAATGAGTATGAGAACTGACGTGGATAGAACAGACTGAGGATGTAACAATAAAATAGTTATTAGCAATTATCAATTACTGAGCAGTATTGCAGGTGTTTAAGTCCCAGTTCAAACCCTCACTCCCTGTGTGATGTGACATGTTTCCCCAGCTGTGAAATGAGTTAACGCCTGCAAAGTACAGCACGGTCCCTGTCACACGATGCTGCACGTTTGCTAGATATTTCTCATACTACTTCCAGTGCTGAATATATGTCATGTTGTTTAATCCTTAAAATGCTCTGGGTGAGTTAGACATTAATACCTGTATATCTGAGATGTGATAACAAGATCAAGCAGGTTAAATACATACATACATACATACATACATACATACATACATACCTAATAAATAAATAAATAATACAGGCAAAAAAAAATCAGGCAGGTAAAGAAATTTACCCAAAATTAAACAATATTGGCAATTCAGCCAAGACTCTTAAAATGTTTGGATTCAAAAGCCTGCAGGGTCACCCTCTCTGCCATACTTGATACTTGATTTGAAATGGAAACTGATTTGGTCTTCATTTCTTCATTCACATGTGATCAAGCACACAAAAAGTATTTCTTAATTGAGCCAGACTGAGGTCAGTTTGTAATAATGCTTTGGGCTAAGATGTCAAGGCCTTGGACCATCTCCATCATTGCAGAACCGGTAATCATTAAGCAGACACTTGCTGTTTTGCTGAATTTGCTTTCAGTTTCCTTCTTAGTGAAATGAAAGTTATCTTGGTTTCCATTCAAAATATAACAGCAGTAGAATAACAACAGCTAACCCCACCGGAGTGATTTTCCAGGCACCACTTCTAAGTGCTTCACATTAATTAGAATTTCAGTCTTCACAAATATCCCCTGGGATACCTGGACTTACAGATGAGGCATTGAAGATCCAGAGAAATGAAGTAACTTACCCAGCCACCCAGCTAGCAAGTGATGAGCTAAGCTGTGGTTCCATAAGGTTAACCACTAGGGCTATGCCAACTTCCTGCAAGTCTCATGGAAGCCTAAGACGACACACGAGACCGAACACGATTCGGATTAGAGAGGCTAAGAGAGAGGGCATTTCAGTACGGAATGCAGCAACACTTTCTAGGAAAACTCTAAAAATAATTAAATAAAAAGCCACAGTAATTCTTACCACTGAGGAAGCACTTGAGTTATTAGAGAAATACATATCAAAACAACAATGAGGTTTCACCTCACGTGAGTCGGAATGGCCACCATCAAAAAGTCAACAAACAATAAATGCTGGAGAGGATGTGGAGAAAAGGGAACCCTCCTACACTGTTGGTGGGGATGTAAATTGGTGCAGCCACTGTGGAGAACAGTATGGAGGTTCCTTAAAAAACTAAAATAGAGTTACCATACAATTCAGCAATCCTATGACTGGGCGCACATCCAGAGAAAACTCCAATTCAGAAAGACACACTCACCTGAATGTTCACAGCAGCACTATTTACAACAGCCAAGACATGGAAGTAACCTAAATGTCCATCGATGGATGACTGGCTAAAGAAGATGTGGTACTCTATATATAGATAGATGGATGTGGTATTATATACATATAGCCATACAAAAGAATGAAATAATGCCATTTGCAGCAACATGGATGGACCTAGAGATTATTCAACTAAGTGAAGAAAGTCAGACAGAGAAAGACGAATATATGATATGTGGAATCTAAAAAAAGGATAAAAATGAAAAAAAAGGACACTGTGAACTTATCTACAAAACAGAAACAGACTTGCAGACTTAGTAAACAATCTTAAGATTACCAGGGAAAGGGAAAAGGAAGGGATAAATTTGGAAGTGTGAGATTTACAAATGTTAGCCACTCTATATAAAAATGATTTTTAAAAAGTTTCTTCTGTATAGTATAGGGAACTATGTTCAATATCTTGTAATAACCTCTAATGAAAAAAATATGAAAACGAATATATGTATGCATATGCATGACTGGGACATTTATGCTGTACACCAGAGACTGACACATTGCAACTGACTGTACTTCAATAAAAAATTAAAAATTAAAAAAAGATAAAAATAGATTTATTTACAAAACAGAAATAGACTCACAGACCTAGAAAACAGACTTATGATTACCAAAGAGGGGAAAGAGCGGGGTAAGTTAAGAGTTTGGGATCAGCAGATACAAACTACCTACCATATTTGCAGTAGACAAACAAGGTCCTACTCTATAACACAGGGAACTATATTCAGTGTCTTGTAATAACCTATCATGGAGAAGAATCTGAAAAAGAACAGATATGTAAATACATACAACTGAATCGCTGTGCTGTGTGTCTGAAACTAACACAGCATTGTAAATCAACCTTACTGCAATTTTAAAAAAAGCATCATCTTCGAAAAGTATCTGATTTTCCCTCTTGTCTATTAAAAGTGATACAGAAATCCATAGACCTGCAGGAAAATATAAATGCCTAAATTTTAACACTGCCAGTGCATAAATTAAGACAAGGATAACTAAAGAAAGATGCCGGCATCGTGTCATTATGCGTCGACGCATTTTTTGTATATTGCATATATTTTTTATTGAAGTATTATCATCCTGTGCATTCTGACTGTGGTCCGAACGGGGGTCCTGCACGGGGTCAGGCACGCTTTCCTAACAAACTCCCCCCGAGGGCCTCGTGTTCAGGGTGCGAGGTAGCAGCTGCATCACGGATGTGATGCGTGAGTGACAGCGGCTCAGAGGTGGCTGTGCCGCGGCCAGGCCCAGGGCTGCCTGCGGTGGAGGTCTGGATGAGGCGTCAGTCCCTCCACCTGCATGGCTGCGGTCTGCGCCGGCAGGCAGAGGTCAGCCGACGACCGACGGCCCCACTGCTGAGCCTCAGCCTTGGTCCTGTTCCCACTTTCATTTCCATGAAGAGGAAAATCGAAACTGTACTCAGCTGAGAGTGAGTCACAGGAGGCGTGTCCGTCGTCCCCGTCGCCCGGGACAGGTTGCCGGGACACCTATAAAGGCAGGCGGGAGGCGCGCGGCAGCCTCAGGGCGCCGGCCACCATGTGGACGCTCGCGCCCGTCGCGTTTGCCCTGAAAGCGCTGGGCGCCTTC